GGCCCTCTGTGCGGCAGCGTATGTCCTGGATATGGCCCTTTGAGTGGCTCACTGGCAGCGTGTGTCTCGAATATGGCTCTCAGAGTGGCATATGGCTGTCATATGTCCGTCGATATGTCTCGTGAGCATACAGCAGTAGGATACTATACATCGAGTTGCAGGATCATATGCCAGTCCCGACTCTGATGCATTGCAAGTCCGCCAATCCGACGGTCTGAGTCAGCAAGTCTGGTCAACATCATGAGCACACGACCTCCTTGACATGCCTTGCTATTTACTTTTAACGTCTTCTACAGTATAAGATAATCTTATTCGAGTGTCGCTGCAACTTTGACCGAGTGGACGTCTGAAATAACACGAACGTAGACGCCAGCAGACCGGGCCGCCTAGCTTCCTTTTTCGGTATGCGGCGCGCAGGCGGCGGCATGATCACCGACTCCGAGTCTACGAATTCATCGCAGCTTTCGAACGACGAACTCCCATAGAAGCAGAAATGGACGTTCATAATTTTGTAGTGATCTGAAATCTCGGCCTGAAAGTATATGTCTTCAGTATGGCTGCATGTGTCCCCCAGCATCCCCTAGAATATGTCCCTCCGTTCGGCAGTCTGTGGCCGTACGCGTCTGCATATGGCAAATCGTCCGATTATATGGCCGATCCGGCAAATTACTGAAGCCCCATGTGGTGCCATTGTTCCACTGCGGTTGGTGACGATGGTACACGAGGATCCGGTGTGCAACAAGTGAACTCGGTGTACGAAGTCTGTTCGACGAGATGGCAGTAGTAGACGACGAGGACACAGGGTGGATGGGTTGGGATGAGTCACGGTAAGGGGATGACTCGCCATGACTATGTACGGTAGAGTACACTGTCCTCGTCAGTACGCTCGAAATCGCTAGCGTAGAGCATTCAACTCGCTTGTTTGAATCGACAGAAATAGTCCCTTGCAAAAGTTCGTCTCCCATTGTGCGCAAGACGTCGAAAACAAAGATCGGCCGATCGAGAAGACAGGACTAGCATCCTCAGCTTAGGAGTTGGCGTCTTCTCAACGACCTCCCCCAGATTCACCTCAAGAGTCGAGGTTTGGAACCAGCCTCAGTTCAGGGCGGGAAGCGAGGGGAAAATTACGGATATATACGCCTCGTCTGCATGCAGCAGCCAGGATGCCACTGCAATCGGGGGCTATGGAGGAGCATGTACATCCGGCGGGACCAATGTTCTGAACTCGACAGCTAACACGCCTAGTCCAATTTGTTGTTCTCCTTTCTGCAATCCCTCTTATACCCCAGGTCCTCAGTAACAACTCGACGAGTTGCATATCTCCATCATCATGAGTCTTTCATGCTTCATCCGCACGCTTCTGCAAGTCTTCCTGGTGTGGTGCCTAGCGTCATTCCAATGGTCGACATCCGGTGGAGTGCATGCGTTGGCAGTTAGGGGTCCGAATGCCGAGGCAGAGTCGGGAGATCCAATACTGCAGGGATTGTTGGCGAACAACTCTGCATGGGCGGCGGAAGTTGAAAGAGAGCATCCAGGGTTCTTCAGCAAAAGCGCACACGGACAGCACCCGCCGGTACGTACCTTGGTTCACCACGAGGACTATCCAGTGCTCCAGAAGTTGTTCAACGCCGTCATCATAGGTCCTGTGGATCGGATGTTCAGACTCAAGAGTCCCAGAGAGCGTGATCACGAACGTCTTACCAGGAGAGATCTTTCCCCAACGCAACATCGCCAAGTACAACGTTCTTTTTCTCCACCTCTTCCATCGCTGACAACCTCGCCCTTCCCGTAGTCAAGTTCCCCCGAACGACACGGACGTCGTCGCCGTCATCTCCTATGCCGTCGAACACCTTGACATTGACCGTATCATTGTCGCTGGCCACACCCACTGCGGCGGTGTCGCATATTGCTACGATCACGCCGCCAACCTCTCGACTCCGGCACCAAAGCCCCTTCCTCCATTGCCAGAACCTGTCCTCAACGAGTGGTTGGGGTCACTGTACGCGACGGCGGTCCAAATGTTCCAGGGAGGAAGGCGTCCGAGTCGAGAGCAAGGTCTGCACGAGCTGACGTTGACGAACGTCAAGATGCAGGTAGGTAATGTGGCGGGATTGGATGTTGTGAAGCATGCGTGGAAGGAAGGAAGGGATTTGAAGATTGTGGGGTGGTTGTATGAGGTCGAGCAAGGGTTACTGAAGGATTTGGGTATATGTATTGGGCCGTCGGGTCGTAACTGTACGATTGGAGCGTGACGTGCTGGCGAATCAGGTTTCGCGGAACTAATGTAAATATTGTCTTGAGTGCTGTGGCAATGCTTCGGTGTGCTTTCGCGTTGCTCACCTTGATATAGTCAGCGTCGGATGATGAATCGATGAAGCTTGAGCCTGTGTGAGCCTCCCATTCCGATCAAGCCGTGTTGCGCTGTAACAAATTTGATATTGGGTTTCCAGATACCACGACCATCTTGAGAAAAGAGTTGGAAAAGAGAGAGGACGAAGGGTGTAGGCGATATCGATGAGTGTAGAAAGACCAAAGAGTCGCGGACTGTACGTCGTCGCTGGGGGCCTGGGGCAAGCTCGGAGTCTGCCGGTCATGATGCAGCCAATTTAAAATGGTCCGACGACTTTCAAGTTAGACTTAGACTGACTTAGACTCACGAACGCCGAGTTCTGGCAAGTAGCATAAGAAGAAGAAGAACAAGATCATGCTACGAGGGAGATAGTCTCTACGCAGAAGTCTACATTATCAGACCCTTGTTGATCGCCATCTCTGTCACCTGCCAGTGATATGCTCTACCTCTGCTACCTCTCGCAACATGGCGAGGTGCTCTTCGACGACGTTTGGACAGTAAGCCAGAATCATACTGATATCCGGACACCCTGCCGCCTTCCTCGTCCGGAGCGTATCCCTCCAATCCAGAACGGATGTTCTTAAACGCATCTGTTCAGGCTTGGGCTCTGGTACGAATGGGAAGATTTCCATCTTGACTGCGCTCAGCTTGGGCAGCAGAAAACGCGATGCGAGTGAACTAGTGCCATCGACACTTGCACACTGGCCTCCGTCCGCGCATTCTGCGAGGAGAGCAGGAAGTCGAATGTCCGTGGAGAGGGCTAGTCTCGTGATATTTGGCATCGAGTGCAGAACCGTCCTCCACAATGCTTCGCGCTCTGGATTGAAAGGGAAGCCATCGTGAGATCCAAAACATCCACTATCGCAGATGTACAGCGTTGTCACGTTGCGCACCCAGTCCAGGATACGAGGAAACACATCCCGAAGAAACCAAGTCGAAACTGATTGCTCGAAACTGCTCCCCAGCACCCTGATAGCAAAATCAGAATCTGTCCAGTAGTTTGGACCGCGGTATTCTCCGTCGTCCTTGCTCCGGACCATCTGAACTCTACCGTCACCTATGAGAAGAGTCGAAGGCGTGGGTAAGCTGAGGTCATGCTGTTCGGCACGAATTCTGGACACGACCCACGATGTCAACTCAGGAATATGAGTTTGCAAGAAAGATTTCAAGGACGAGTTCACGGTTGCACTTGGCGAGATAATGAGGTGCTGGAGAAGATAAAGACATGTGGGAGCCTGGTCGTCTATGTGCAGACTTTCCAAACGAGGCAGAGTGACTGTCCTGACGGCCTGTGTAGTGTTTGCGTCCGGGGAGGCGACGGGGAGATGACACCGTAAATGAAGGTGAGACAGCTGGGAAAGAGTGGCGAGGACCTTCATAATGTCGTCGTATGTCACCGTCGCTTCTCCCTCGAGGCGACCATGATGTACATCCGTGACGATAGAGAGGTGCGTCAAGGAGCGCGGTAGAACTTTGGAAACCCAGGGCAACTGACAATTCTCGAGGACCAGTTCTCGTAGTTGTGACGAGTAGATACTCGGGATCGCCACACGCATGGAGCGAACCCCACGGGGCCCGGCCAGAGCACCCGATATAGTTCTTTGCGCCACCAGCGCCGCCACCTTCAGAGCGATGAGTCGAGGAGCCATTTGCGGGAGAAGAGAGAGCGAAGATTCGATATCTTCGTGTCGCTGCGCGAGATGGAGAACAGTGACGCGGTCGATATGCTGCGCAATAAGTCGCATGCTGAAGCGTGGATTCGAGGAGGTTTGATAGCGAAGGTCTTGAAATATCAACCCGTCATCCACCCAGACCATGAGTGGCACATCCTCTGACTTTTCGAGGAGTTGGCTGAGGAAGCGGTGTCGCCGAAGGCTGGGATACGATGTCATGTACACCTGGGTCCACAGTCCCGGAGTGCCGTGGACGACTTCGTTCCATTTTCGACAAACGCATGCGAGGAGCCGTTGTGGAAAGTTTGTCTGGGTAGACACCGCGCGGATGAAGTGGCGAAAGATTTGAGCTAGCAACTCTGCTGGAAGATCATCGATGGGAGCGAGAGTGTTGAGTCGGCGGCGGAGGTGGACGACTAGTGCAACGTGACCAGCAATCTCTTTCTCGATCTCCTCTCGAGTAGACAGCAGAAGTGTCTCTGAGACGGACTTGCATCGGCATGGGGCACTGATACTGCCACTGTGGACCGTCAAATCGTCCAGGTAAGTGATCGTCTTAACCAGCATTTCGTGATCCACTCACCTCTCTACCTCTGTATCAAACATCTTGCATGGACAAACCAATGCACCTGGAGCTTTCCTAGATGTCGTTGGGTAGATTGAATCGTTGTTGAGAGAAAAGAGGAACAGAGAACTAACGAACAAGAAACACCCAGGCCGCAACGTGCTGCCAGCATGCATCACGGCTAGCTAGCGGTTAGCTAAACGTGGTTTGTCGGATAATTACCGGCATTCATTCAACGATGGACGCTAGCTTGAGAGTCGAGACCAACTTGAGACCTCTACTACTAGTACTAGGTCAGGAAGATAACGGCGCCCGTCTTTGGTATAATTCTTGAAATGCATCGGACGAGCCCGTTCGCACCAGCATGCTAGCCTCTTTGTTTATATTGCGCAAACCGTCAGCGCCAAATGTATGCCCCATGGCTGAGTTGGTTACAGCGTCCGACTGTTACGGCGTCGAGTCGGGAAATCGGAAGGTCGTGAGTTCGAGCCTCACTGGGGCAGGTGGTTTGGACGCGAAGAATTCTTTTTCTGCCAAGCGACACGGTGTCGTTTTCACATTTTGAGCCACTCGTACACACGTAGACATTACGGAATTGGTACACCTCGACAAGCATGATGCGCATTCGATATAAGCACACAGTGCACTCACGGTATCTCGCTGGTGTACGGAGAATGGACATGTCACCTTTTCTCACAATTAGACGCGATTGACCGTAGATGCTCTGACATTGACTGCATTAGTATCTTCTTTTGAAGCCTCAACGAGCGAGACTCAATTCCTCGATTTTTTGCGCTTTCTATACATTCGAGTAACTTCTGTTCTTCGTCTCCGCACCACTGTTGTCTTTGAGCTCAGATTGAATTCGGACGTCAAGGATCTTGATTGCATACACCTATGGACAATCAAGAGTACAAAATGAGTGACAGTGTGGGTTGAGAGCGGGTCCGGTGCAGGGGAAGAAAGATGGAGGGTAACGAAACGTTGGTGGTAGACGTGCTACTCGTAGTCCGCAGATATCATGCAGCCAATCTTCAGTGGGCTGTCACGGCTTGCATACGTGACGACAGCGAGAACACGCAGGTCACTCGACCATGGCTCGCGAATAGAACCCGGTACGCGCTTGGCTGCAGGACGTTGAACTTGAATGTAGACGACCACCGCGAGAGACTGCAGTGAGAAGAGGTGTCCGACGTCCAGAGTCTCAGCGCCGCAGCCAGAGCATCTGAATGATATGTATCAGCTTGGATTCCAAGCAAGCAAACCAAGAAGATGGAACGCGAACCTCAGAGCGTCGGTGTCATCGTCCCGAGAACCGGAACGGCTTCCTACCAGTAGATTCGCAACCGAAGATCCTGGAGATGGTCGCCCAAGTTGCACAAGCTAGTACTCAAAGACGACCATCCAAGCCTTGGAGGTTAATCGCGTGCAAGCATGGATAGGGTCGCGTTGCATCGTTTCCGCAGGCAGTATAGGCCGATATCTCTAGGAGGAGTATATCTGGGGGTCACCGCGGAGAACGGCGTCGATTCGCTCTCCAAGAATTTAGAGCTGACGTCGGAAATGCGCATGTCTTTGCCCGTCGGCGAGCTCGTGCTCCAGTTGGACAATTCTGACTGTCGAATGCAGCGTGTCTAACAATGGGAACCAAAAGACATCAGCGCAGATTGTGGCAAGAATAACACCAAACGCACCTCATGTCTAATGCCAGGCTGGAAGTTAGAACTTAACTCTTTCCCCTTCTCGCTAGCCTTCGTTGGATGCACTGCGAGCAGTCTTTGAATGCCATCAGTAGTAGTGAGTGGGTGAATGAAGTATCTAGGCTCCGCTATGAGCAGTCTCAAGTACTACCAGTCGACCCATCGACATCGTGGAAATAAGAAACTTAGAAAGTGACCCGCGACTGGTCTGCAACTTGAGCGCTTGATTGTCGGCAAAGTATATATGTCAATAGTGTGCTGCTCTCTGTATGCCCCATGGCTGAGTTGGTTACAGCGTCCGACTGTTATGGCCTCGAGTCAGTACATCGGAAGGTCGTGAGTTCGAGCCTCACTGGGGCAGATTCAATCTTAAATCTGGATCGATTTTTTGAGTGGATAGGAGCCTGGTCTGAACGCTGAACTCGGCCTACGAGATGCAGTGGTCATTCAGCTGGTCAGCTGGCTGTTCGAATCTAAGGGAGTTCTCGTTACCAGCCTTTCAATTCAACACAGCACAAGGATGATCGCAAAGTGAGAGTAAATACATGACTTCCACATCGATACTGCACTTGAGCTGCCATCACCCCTTCCGCTGATAGAGAGCCAAAGGTCGATACCAAAGCCACAATTCGAAACCTGCGAGCCTCCAGTCCTCAGCAAAATCATTTGCTGGATATTCTTCCGGTCTTCAGAAGGCTAGGACGCGAGGCGCTCGGTGGAGGTCGTACGAGAGGTCGAATGAACGCATAGATCCTAGCCGAGCTCGCGCTTTCCTTTGTTTTCGGTATTCGCAATTCCTTCGATATTCTTAGGGGACGACGGACCCGGCGATCCGAAGACACCGAGACCAAAGAGGAAAGAAGAGGCTGGATTTGGGGGGCGGATGACGGAGATTGAAAATAAACCGAGACGAGACTCTTTCGAAGACAGAATTCTTTCGGGAGAGATTGGGTGACTTCCCGTATTAGACAGATCTAGACGAATAACGGGGAGATTGTGAGTGAGATTAGCGAGGCAATGAAGGCGGTAGAGGCATACGAGGCAGCGACGGTTCAGCAAACACCGTGAATCTGCTGATCACGAACGCGCGTTGTGGACGCGTGTGGACGCCGCCAGTAGGCTGAGAAGTAAAGCTGCAAGTTTCAAAAGCCAGCGTTGGAACGAACGTTCGAGCTCCGGACCACACAACCCCGCAACGCTGCACTCCAAAATCCTGCTGGTGTACCCAGCGAACCGTGATCGGCTCTTGCTCTGATTTCACCCAAGTATGAAAGAGGCAATGAGCATACCGCTGTCGCTGTCAAACCCCACGCGCTTTGCAGTCTACTATAAGCAGGGAAGGGAAGGAACGCACCTTTTACACGTGAAATCCGAACCCTCGAATTCGCTTTTTGAGCTTGAGGAAGTGCGGGGAAATACACGTTAAACCTGGCACTCCCCAACGCTGGGGATCTGAATCTTATATGAAAGTTGAATTGAATGGCAGCGCGAGGCGGACTTGCTGTTTGGATCTCAATGCGTTGATATCATGGGCTTGTGGCTGGGAAGGAGGGGGACGGCCACATGTGACATGATCGAGATTGACTGCTTTCAACGTGGTCGTTGTGGGTGGTGGGATGCGTGGGCTTGCTTGGGTTGTGGGTTCAAGATGTGTTCTGACTATGCGTGAAATCGCACCTAAATTACTATGAAAGAGAACACGATCGACATCAGTATGAGGTGCAGCGTACTCCGATTTCAAGGAACACACTGTGAGTGATAGATACGCACCCCATCGTTCACCTGCTCAGGTTCAGGCTGTACTGGCCCTTGAACGCCACCGTCTGCATCCAGGCCCGAGCCTCATCGACGTCCGGTCCGCCGCCACAGGTCGTGTACCCGTCCTGACTCCTGGTGTCGGTGAGAGGCACATCATGGGACCACGTGTCAAGAGTCTAACAAGCTCGGATGCGGTCTGGTCCGGCTTTGATCGTGTATGACTCTGAGCGAGGTGTTGTTGTTCGGAAATATTGGTCTGGACGTCGAAATTCAGGAAACGTAGATGGACGTCGATGAATCTGATCGTGTCACTAGGTACGTCGTGCTGCCTTCGTTTCGCGTAGCTGTAAACAACGAAAGAACTTTTAGCAAACACGTCAACTTCTTCACATCACAGAACGAGAACGAACCAGCGAGAACCCGAGCTCGTCGTCGCGCCACCAACCCATCTCCACGAGGAATCATCTAAACCAAGATCCCTACTCAGTATCAATGGCGTGAATACAGCCTGAGCAACCCGATGAAAACTTACTGAATGATCCGCTGCGCAATTCATTTGACATACACGTAGCTTCAAGGCTGCAGCAATTGATTGAATGGAGGTGCTTTGAGGTGCTTCGAGTGAGTTGAATGAGAGAGAGGGGAACCGCTGATCCTGATCTTGATCACGATGGGACGTCGAGACCTGCTAGTGTGTTCGTGCTGTGCTATACAGACAGAGAGGGCCGCCGGCTATGTTGACATGCATATGGCTGTTGGCAAAGAGCACGATCGGACTTGTATGCGTACCATACTGTACTCCGAGCGAGTACCCAACACAACGCTGAGCGTTGAGTAAAGGCAAGAGATTCTATATCAAGGGTCAAGACATTAATCCAAAACTGTCCACAAGCCGCACAGACCATTCAGAGCTCACCAGTCACCTCACAAACACCCAACGCCAACACGATCCCACACCCCCTAAACCAACCCAACCACGACCCAACCCTGCGCACACGAATGAATTGATGCAGTCTTCGATCCCCGTTGTTCATTGAACACCGAGGACCGAGGACCGGACGTGCCGAAACGCGTGTTTTCTATTTAGTACTCATGCACAGTTGAGAAGAAGCGAGGTTCTGGCTTGTTCGTCCCGATCCCGAGAGTGAATCGTGAGATTGGGATGGCGAGATCTCGTGTTTGGTGGCTTTGGCGCGACGCGAAGATCCGATGTGTGTAGGGGTTCGTGTGTGGTTGCGGGCTTGGTGGACGGGTGGGTGTGTTGTGCGCAGACGAAACTCGGTGTTGAGCATGTTGTCGACCTCTCTGCTACCTAGATCGCTGCAATGAGTTGGATGAGAAATGCGTGGAATGAGTGGAAGAAAGGCGGCCATGAAGAAAACGAGGCGAACCACGCCAGGACGCATGCCGGGCGGTCCGTTGAACGTTCCCGAAAGGCTGAAACCTAACGTGCTCGTCACGCCGAGATGCGAACGGTGAGAGTGCGCGCAAAACGAGGGTACAATGTTCGAATCGGCACGACGAGTACTGCAGATGGTGGCTGACTGCAAGCTTGAAGGCTCGGAGAGTCGTCGGGTTTGTGGTGGAAGACGCGTACTGTACGTTCGGGAGACAGGTCCGGAGGGCAAAGAGACCGACGACGTAGTGATGCAGCCTACGACGTCGACAGCAGACGAAGTCTTCGCATGCGGATGAGAGAGCGATGACGGAAAACACACGCAGGTATTGCGTCCTTGGAGTCGTCAGCGCATACGCGAAGTTGACGACGAGCTTCAGGAATCAGGACCCCGTCGGACGCGAGAGAAGGCTGAACGTCTGAACGGCTGAAGGCAATTGGAAGATGAGATATCATAAGTCAGCGGAGATGAAGAGCGCGCGAGAAGCAAGGGTACGGCGAATGCGGTGCGGAGAGCCTGAAGGAGAATTGCGAGATCGTGTATTGAAAAGAAACGTGCCCGTGTGAGGTTTTCCGTTTCTGATAAAGATTGTGAGGTGAGGACGAGCGCGATACATCTTGAGAAAGGAAGAGAGGGAGGAAATGTGCC